TTATTGCTTAATATAGTCAAGACTAGATTCAATAGACCTGATTATAGTATTGCAATTAGCTAGCCTAATTTAAGAGATGACCGGACAACTCTGTTCGTCGGTACAATTGCTCTGTTTATTATTTATACTTTAATTACTAATAAATATTTACATTAGATTATATTTTAAGTACATAAATAAAGGTAATTATTTCATAAAAAAACTCAAGTTTTCAAATTTGAAGTACGATGTGACCCAATTACTCCAGTTTGATTGATTTCCCGAAGATAAAGATGGTGATAACAAACAGGATTTTTACCAAGGCTGTTTGTTCACACATTTTTTAGACGATGTATATTGTATTCACAAAACTAAATTACATAAAATTCTTGTGTTTTAAATGTTCTATTTGACATCCCTTATTTGAACTATCTTTCGACCCGCAGTTTCCAGGATAATAATGCCTTTTGAAGTGGCAGAAGAGGATTCTATCCCATTCTCCCGACAGCTTTTCCAGAGTCTGTTAGGGTTGGGACAAAGTTTGGATACTGCAGTTTTTAAAAGTCCGAAGCACAAAAATCCATAGGTGGACACATCAGGAGATTAGAAGGATATCAGTAAAGGGTATGGCCTTGATACAGTTTTTGTTCCATTCGTTTAGGAAATTTCAATTGTTTTGATGTGTGACTTCTAGCTTGCCCTGAGGAGTATCACAGATTGATGGCATGGGTAAAGCGATGGTATTTATTCGAAAATTGGCGATAAAATATGTTCCTGAAGTATTTAGAGTAATCTTGACAAAAACTAGCAACAATAATGAATGCCTTAGAAAACTTTCTTTCGATTCTTTGAACCATTGTACTTAAATTCCCCCCTTTTTGATAATAAATGCTTTTTTTTGTTCCAATCATTTAATACACCCATGCTTCATCTATTGTGACCAATTGTTTTCCATTTTTCTTTGGATAAGTGTTTTCATATAGAATTTTGCACGTGTCCTGCGTGAGCGATATGTTTGGGGAAGACGATGCACATTGCGTTTTTTCGCTTCTTGAGATTTAAATCACCGTTTATCATTTTTTTATACAGTGGACACCGAGTATTTTAATGATTTGCAACTGTCCTTTGACTAGGGGGTTTCTTTTAACATTAAACGAAGTACCTTTGCCATAGTCGAAGATGTCCGTTTTTCCTGAATACTTGTTTGGAATTTTTGTCCGACTTGAGGCTCCAATTTGACGTTGTTTCCTTTCTTGTGATGATATTCCTATCGACGCTTTAGATATTACAAAACCATACTTTCACATCGTTTTGGATAACGGAGGAGTATCATATCTCTTCGAAAGAGAGAAATGTAGCTTCGAACAACTGCTTTGTTATTCGCCATTTGAATAAAAACAAAACTTTCATCACAGACGATAAATTTTGACTTTTTAAAAAACATAGTACAATTGCAATTACTTCTTTTGCAGCAAACGAATTTTTTTTACCGCTTACCAAAATTGTCTAAAAAATGTGCGAACAGCCTCTGTAGCTGAGTGGCTTGTTTAATCTAAACACATTTTATATACTAGCACAAATACTTTTGCACTGAAATATTTGAATTGCATTTATTGTGTAAAGTTTATAACATATACAATGTGTTTCTAACCAGTTTTAATTTTAGAAACAAAATTAACTGGTTAGGAAACAATACCAGTTACTTATTCCAGTTCATACCCATCTTCGTATTATGAGTCTGCATACTCAAAAGATTACTTACAGAATGAAACGTAAATTTAACTAACTCTAAATAAAGATAAGAAGATGTGTGTTGATATCAACTGATAGAGTAACTTATTTGAAAATTGAATTGCTTCTTTTCCCTCATCTTCGCGAATAATATCATCTTTTCTTAAAATTCGAAACTGATAACTCTTGCAATTACAGTGATTATTTATAAATCAAGAGGAGAATAATTCTACATGTCTAAACCAATTTATTCTGTTGTAACTTCCTGTCAAATTAAATTTAAAACTGCAGTGAACTACAGGCAAGTTCTATAAATCTTGGTAATGAAATGTGAGTCGGTTGTTAAATAAGTTGAATCCGTTTTAGAAGTTATTAGATGTTACACTTCCGTTTTGATAATGTTCTCTAATAGCCAACCACTAGTATATTTATTTAACGAGATTTAGTGTTTATTAGGGTTTTGAAATTAGGAAACAGGAATAACCAGCTGTGCCCTCGCTGGTATTCTAACTTTGGATCTTCCATTTGGGAACTGCACTGCAGTCAACTACCTTGCGAAGGCAAACAGCCAAAAAGGAGAAAATTTCTTATATTCTCTCCCTCGATTTGAGAGGTTGTAGAGACATTAGGTTTTCATTTTAGAAGCAGGCAAGATGAAAAATAAGCAATCGCTTTCGCCGGGAATCGAACCACGGACCTCTGGATACCGGTCCAGTTTGCAAAACCACTACACCACGAAGGGATGCTAGGAAAGCGGGAGAAATACTTTATATACTCCCTCTTTTAAAAGAAGACTGAGGTTTTTAGGGGACCCAATCGCCAAATCCTGGGTGAGGAGAATCAGCATCCAACACCCTTTTAATTCGGGCGCCACTGTAGAAACATTAGGTATTTTTTTGGAAGCAGGCAAGAGGAAAAATTAGCAAGGCCTTCGCCGGGAATTGCACCACGGACCTCTGGATACCGGCCCAGTGTGCAGACTACCACACCACGTAGGCACGACAAGAAGGCGGGAGCAATACCTTATAAGTTAGTGTGAAATCCAAGTGGTGACGAATTATTGTCCACCAAGATTAGTCAAGCTTTCCTGCAGAGCTATTTAGAATTTTACTGAAACCTAAAAATATTAGATATCAGTTATAATCTCACCAGGATTCGAACTCCGAATCTTCCCATTTGTAGACAAACCGGCTACAAATTACTGTACGAAAACATGCAGTGTGAAAAGAAAACATTTTTTACAGTAATGTAAGCTAGTAGCTTATAAATTGCGGTTCATTTCTTACTTATGCATTTGTATTCAATGAAACAGAAAATATTTATAAGCATGCAAAATATTGGGACACAAGAAGTATCGACAATTTGGCTTACGATTTATCTTTTATACTTGTGTTGCTGAGATCAAATTTTAATTTAATTTTTAATAACCATTAAAGCTTTTTTTAGTTTGGTTACTTCATTCTTTTATCCTAAAAGTAGTGAATGCTTGTAATATAATTTTCTGAAGTACATCATTCCAAAATGAATGCTCATCATATAAACCTAACGTAATGCAAATGACTTGCGTATTTTTAGAAAAACAAAATTAAATGTAAGATTAGTTTCCCCAATAAGTTCGACCCGAAATGTTATTAACAGATAATAATAATTTGTCCATATATTTCTGTATTAAGAAATAAATCAAGTTCATCGTTTCTTAATCTATCCCAACAGTACGCACATATTCTTCTTTTAATGCTTGCCATCATCTATTAACCATGTAATTTATTATCATCTTATACGCCTCACGTAAATATGTATGGCATTAATTAATATATATTATACACGCAGAGTATTTAAAAAATCATTGCTTAAATTGGTTAAGCAAAGTAAAAGAGCGCTATTTAACTAAACGACAAATTCCTTTCTTGGAGGATTTCCTGTTAGAAATTGTCTTAAATTTATGTTACCTGTAAGAAAAACCCATAGAAATCTCTATAGTCAACCTCTTCACTGGCATATAAAGCTAGGTAAAGCTACCATTGCTCAATTATCAAATCTACTCAGTCACTATTGAGCCCGTATTTCAAAAAAGGTTGTTTGAAAAACCAGGTAGTCCAATGATGCCAGTTTACGAGATGGATGTAGCTTTTAAACACATAATTTTGGTCATTAGTAATAATTTGGTAATAATGTAAGGCCTCAAAACTTTTATGCACATTCTACATTCTACCATATTATAGTGATGATTTTTATTTATAAAGACAAAGAGCAGTTCTATAATACAGAAAACTGTATCTGAAAAAAATTACCAAGCATATATGGCTTCCGCGTTTTTAGCGGTAGAAACGAACTGCATGACGATATTAAGGCCAAACAAAAAAATAATTTTCATGGCCAAAACGTTGAATTTAAACATTTCTGTTAACTGTTATTTGAGGGTCATGTTTCTTATGAAAATTTTATTTTTTTAAAATTCTATAAATGGAACTGTATTTTATATGAAATGAAAGTATAAATGAAAATTTGTAGTTGGAAATATATGTGTAAATTAAGCATTCCAAAACATAAAACACAGTAACCAACATGTTTTTTCAAACAATATATATATATGTGTGTATTACCCACCCGAATTTAATTTTAATTTTGGAACATCAGACATTTAATTTTAAAATGTTTTTAAAAATTCAACAAATACTGTGAGAATTAAAGTTTTCAAATTATCTTTGCCAAGAACAAAATGTCCTCTACATTCGAAAATAAAATATACCACTTCTAGAATATAAGAAATTTAAAATTATTTTCTGTAACGTTAATTAAGTAATTTTTTGAACAAAATGACGCCCCAATTAAAATGTGCTGATCTTTTTTATTCCAACAAAAGTAAAACTTTTCAAAAACGTGTGCATCTTTTCAGCAATATCAACTAAATGACATAGACAAAAAATCACATATTTCATGAAATGTTCTATGATATACTATTTTCTATTTTCAATCTATTCTGTAACCGAATGAAAATATGAAATCAGAACGACGAAAAAAACATTTTTATGCGTTGTGAGCCGATTTGAATTCTGCCAGATGACTTAACTGACTTTAATTAACTGAACTGAAATTAATAGAATTTTTTAATAGTAGGGAAGAAAACTTGTAATTAATCAATTTATCTCCAACACGCTTCGCTATGAATAATTATTATAATTGCTGTGATATAAAATTTGAAGCTTCTGTATTTTATGCCAGTTACAGAACAAGTGATTTTATTAGTTTATTACTTTACAGTATTATATATTTTTGTAATTTATTTACAGGCCAAGACATGAATAGTACTGTCAGCTCCAAAACATGAAATTCTTCTTTTTCTATCATGGAATTAGAATCGGCGATTGTTGAAGATTCGGCTGCAACACTTTATCCATTTGCGAGTGATCAAACTCTTGAATCATTGTATTGCAACAATTCCCAGCTAGACCATGTTGATGCACCAAACGGTACGTAGTTTCAGAATGAATTGATTTTTAGTAAATAGTTAAGAATAAATGAAAGATTCTTGGAAAATAACGATAAGGAAAATATAAGAGCTTTTGCTATGAATACTTATGCAATACATGTTAAAGCTTTTATTCTTTATTACAAGTTTCTATAGATGAATGAATACGTTCTGAAAGTATAGAAAGAAGTTTAATTTAAGAAGAACGGCTAGAGGAAGAAAAGCGGAATTTCTCAAATGTATATTTGAAATAAAAGGCAGGTGACAGGCGACGGAAAACGGGAGAACCTGGCGTCTACCATAGGTAAGCATGTGCATACCGCTAAACCTGAAATAAAAGACTATCAACCGAAAACATCTCCAGCGTGACTGCCTACAAAGAACAACAACTATGATGGAAATGATTGATATTATTATCAATGCTTCACCTGAGGCTAAATTTTTAAGACCGATGAAATACTACCTACGCTCGAACCTAGACGTAAGGGCTGACTGCATATTGGTTTTGCATGGTTTTTCTCGTGTGAAATATGACTATGAGTCAGTTTTCCGTAGGAAATCCTCCACGAAGTCATGCGTCCTCTTAAATAGGTAGCTTCGTGTACTTTGCCATATCTGAATAACCTAACCTAACCTATAATTATCGATGACGTTTAGCAAAATATTGTAGTGATTATCAAAAGCATTCGCATTTACTGTTCGAGGTCTTCATTTGATTTATATCAAGTGGGCACTTAAGAAGCTATATCCTTCTGTGGTCCTTCTTTAAATAAAACTTTTATTTCTCTCAACTATGACTTTTCATCTTATGTATCCGGTAAAATAAGAATAATAGATCGAGGAACACCTCTCCCCCCCACACACACAAAAAGAGTTGTTCCTGAGTAGGTCGAGGAACGCCTTTCCCCCAAAATACTTTGTTCCTGAGAATGATAAGTCGAAGAACAAGCCTCCCCCCTCAAAAACAAACCCTGTTTGACGTTTTTTCGTATGTATTCTTTGTCACATGTAACAAAATCTTAATTAAACTTAATTCTCTTAATGTAACTTTTAGTTCTCTTAATTTAACCTTTTATTGTTGATTCTGTTTACTTTCCTACCGCCGATTTGAAAGCCAAAAAAATATATAGCTTACAAGATTATAAGGTATTTTCTCCCTCCTTTCTGTATGCCTTCATGATGTAATGGTTGGCGCATATTCGAGAGGTCCAGGTTCGAGTCCCAACGAGGGCATTGCTCATTTTTCACGTATTCAGCATCAAAATAACCTAGACTCTACAGTGGCGCCTGAATAAAAGATGGTGGATGATGATTCTTCACCACCAGAATTTAGCAATTTGGTCCCCTAATACCCAATCGCCTTTTAAAAGGGGGATTATATAAGGTATTTTCTCCCTTGTTTCTGCATGCCTAGTGGTATAACGGTCGCACACTCGTCGTGTATTCGAGAGGTTCGGGTTCTGAAGAGGGCATTGCTCATTTTGCAAAAGCAAATCTGCTCTAATTCTTCTAACTGTTCAATTAGTCTCTATTCTATTTGTTAGACAAAGTGTTATGTAACTGTATGGATCTACATTGCTCTAACGTATACTAGAATTTAAATAATTCGAGCACGAAGACTCAGTAATCCTAGTAGATAATTTTTAGTTCTAAACAAAGTTCAGACGAAAGCTTTTTACGAAGCTTCTAGTTCTCTCCAAATTTATAGGATAACAATCCCGCTCGAGAATAAGAACTTATTTCCAGCTTTCTAGAAGGAAAAATAGTATGAATTTCAAAAATTTCTTTCTATACATTTAAATTCTCTAAATCAATGGTCTCAAACTGCCGGTCCACGGGAAACGTCTGTCCACTAAGGCAATTTCACACTGCCCTCCATTATTTATTTGTTCTAAATACAGTAATTTTAGTTTTAGTGACCATTGGGATAAATATTTCCTGTTGACTGGGTCGACTGTTTAAATATTCTCAATACAAAGCTGCAAGGAACGAATAAACTTATCACCGACATTTGTGCTTGTATTAAAGGTTTTGCTATTAAATTCCAAAAATGGGAAAAGCCAACTGGAATCAAAGCATTTCAAACATTTCCTGCATGTTAAATCTCGTTCCATTATTTCAAAGAAAATCGTAAGTTTATGCAAGAAAACGGTATCATTATGACAGAAATTGGGTAAAAGATTTAAATATTTGAAATGTCTGAATTCTGGTTTTAACGTTAAAAATCATCATCATTAAAAAGGAAAAAGAATATCTCACCAGAAGATTTATAAAGAGCTCATTACTGTATATCAATTAATTGTAATATAAATCTTATTTAACGATTTAAAGCTACAGATTGGAATAACGTACATTCGTGCGTTTCGAAAGATAAATAATCTCAATTATGAAGTTTTGCGTTGCGATACTAAATTGTATTAGAAAAATAATCGGAGAGGTTTTTAACTTGTATGTATTTTTTCCTCACAATTGAAAATTAATAATTCTAACTTAAAGTGCCCCGTTTACCTATGAGTATATACAAGGCATAATGAAGATACTTTTTGTAAAATTTATTACGCGATCCTCTTACACAGCAAGGGAGGATGGCCCGTGAAAAATGTGAGGGAAACTGGCTCGTACCCGCGTAACACATACCACATAACATTCACGAAAACATCCATGTAACCAGGCCATTCACCGAGACTCAAACCCCTGTCCAAAATACCAGTACTCAGCGACTTTAACCGCTCGGCCGCTGGTGGGCCGATAAAGATAGTTTGGGGTTACTTTACATACTTTAAAAGAATTAAAATACCACCAAGTGTTACGTTTCAATAAGAAATAAAGCATTTTATAATTGCGCTTACATAAATCATATGCATCTTTTTGTATTTGTTAAAGAAAAATTTAAGGAATAGAAGAAAAGATTAACCTTTTATTCTCAGGCTTTATTATTAAATTAAATAAACAATTTTTAGTTTTAAAATTTTTTTCATTAGGTTAAAGAATGTTTTCTCGTTTTGCTAAAAGAATTTCCTGCTCTTCACATAGTTCCATATTCGACCATATATTTGGGACCACTGCTCAAATAATATTTGACACGTACATAACAATTTAATTTAACACACTTCCAGCTCTTCAGTTTCATATTTGTGCGCAACAGCCAGTAGAAAAATTTATATAATATGTGAGTTACTTACTTCTTTTTTGTTCTTATTTCTGGAAGATGGATTTTTTACAAATATATTGTTTAAGATTCCTTGTTGCCTCAAATTCAGTGGTTCACTTCATCTGACTTTTCCCACAAACTTTTGATTTTTGGCAACAGATTCCGGATCGTTAACGTCAAATTTTCAGCAAATATTTTTATTAAGTAATGCTTAGTATTAATAAATGCTTAACTAAGGCTTAGTTAATTTAATTTCTCTCTATTTGATTTTACTCTGGGTACTGCATTTATTTATATATAATTTATTCCAACGGCAGAAAACAAACGCAAATTTAATGAAAGTTTAATTTGAGATTCATTCAAAACATAACAAAAAACAAATTAAAGAACAAAGATGCATCTGAAACACTTTCGGCTACAGAAAGTGGCAAAACGATTCAAATCTATTTTCAAATAAGGAACTCGTTTGAGATAATATAGGTAAGAATTTTTGGTTACCTATAAAACCCGAAACCTCACTTTGAAAATGTTTAATCATGTTATAATGAGAATAAATTTTAAATCTTCCTGTTATTTAAAACTGGAATCTTTAGGAAATTCATTTTTATAGCATTATTTTAATTATAATTATTTTAATTTTTACGCTTTTATTATTTGGCGAAGAAACATTTATAATCAGTTTGCTAATTAAGAAAAATTACTTATTATGACTATCAGCTCATTTGTTTTCATTTCAATTAAATTTCTTAGCTTTCTCAAGTATGGTCATTAAATATTTAAATTAGTTCTTTACATTTTTCTTTATTATTTGATATAATAGTTAGATTCTTTATATTATTTAATTTCGGCTATTTTTGTACTGCTAACGTTTATTCCTGGCTCTTCATTTAAATTTTTTCTTATTCAAAAGTGTCTATTTTAAACATACTTATAATCTTTACTCGTTACTTTTATTTACCATAGTCTTTATGCTAATTCTTCCCTGATTCAAAACATTCTCCTAAAGGTGTATTTAATTTAATTATGGCAAAGCACACTAGGGATATCTGCCTAAGAGGAGGGATGCCTTCGTGGAGGACTTTCTAAGGGAAACTGGCTCGTATACACGTTACACAAGGCGAAAACCACGGAAACGCTCATGCAGCCAGCCCGTTCGCGGGATTCGAACCTCAGACCGAACTACCAGTGTTCAGCGACTTTACCGCTCGGCCCCTGGTGGGCCTTCTCCTAAAGAACCTGACAATAGATGTTATGGTTTTGTTAATATTTTATAAGTTCAGTAAATGTAACTTAAAACAATTATAAACTGTATTTTGATTCATCATTATTCTACATCCATACAGTTTCTATATGTTTCTTTAATTTCGTTTTCATTTTTAGGAAGCGCCGTATTCTGTAATGTTACGTGGGATGGAGTTTCCTGTTGGCCGGCAACTCTGGCCGGAAATACAGCAATGGTCCCTTGTTTTTCTGAACTTAACGGTGTCAAGTACGATGTAAGTGGTAAGTCGACATTTCTTGCATTTATATGGCCAAGATTCGGAGCTAATAAGTGCTACGCAAAACATACAGCTTAGTCATATATCAAATTTTATATCACTTAGTTAAACGTTCCTTTTCTTAAATCAATAAATATTTTAGCAATAAAGTATAAAGGAATGCTTTAAAAATTTATACTTTGCGACAGAGTGATAATTTGTGCAACTTCATATTATATCCTATCCTTTGTTAAGCATTGGTTAAATATAAGAAATTGACAAAAATGTAGGAAAAAAAGATCTACTTACTTCCATTTATAAAATTGTTAACTACAGAATGTAAAGATTATTGCTGCGAGTAATTAAGGAGTATTGCTTATCTGAAAATCGTAATGAAAATTTTATTTCAATACATGCCCTTACAGGATCAAAAATTAAAGATTCAAAACTTTCCGTTAGGGCTATATCCGGCAGACTAAGTACCAATATTGAATTTGGAAGTTACTATTCCACAATGTTTCTTCGAATGTAGTTGTCTTTAGGCAATATCATTCGGTGTTTTTATAATCATCAAAAGTAAGCATCCATTCTACTCAGAGCAGTTAGTCTATCTCTCCATGCTGGGGGAGGGGGGATAGACAACGAATTGCTAGCTCAAGGCAGCTTGTAATTCCAACAAATACATAAATTGATGTTTTTTTTAGTGATTCCCCTACTCCACGAACGTGAAATGTTCTCTGATACGTGATACTTTGCAACACACCTAAATTTATTGCCCAATGATTCGTTTGTAAGGAAAGAGAACCCTCGCTTCGCTTTCTTTAGCTTAATCAATTAACCGACCAAGCAAAGGATTCATTAACGTAAGATCTAAGTCATGCGCTTAGTTCTCAGCTATTTCAGTCAGCGACAAAAAAGAATTAGAATTGCAGCATCGTTTTGACAGCTCAGTTTGTAAGCTAAATCTTGTGTCACTTAACGTAAATACCTACTTAATATGTACATGGTGAATAACGCGAGAAGATTAGCGTCTCGTTTTTTGCATAGATTCGAAGAACGACAAGTGAATAATAATAATAGCAAATGTAACTGAAAGCTGGTTTGGACTGCGGCTTGGTAGTTTAAAAACTAACGCGTTTAGGAAACTCTGCTGCTTTCCCTGAGAATATAATAGTACTTTAAATATTTGCAAATCAAACAATAAATTAGAATCTGTAGGGCTACTTTTGTAACTAGAAACTGAGTTAAAAACCTGCAGACCGTAATACAGATATCGAATACTCGCTACGTCTTTTACAACTCGCAAATCAGAGATACAAAATGTAAAAGAATAAAATAAATGTAAATAATAAAAAGAAGGTTATTTAAATAACCTTCTTTTTACTCTTGATTTGTGCATACGACACAACTTGTACTACAGAGGAAATTTCCACAACTTGTGAACGTTTTAAATACCCAGAATTAAATTATAGTCTATATAACATAATCTAAAACTACACATTAAATAGAATGAGCTACCTTATATGATTCAAATAAATAAGTAATATAATAGTATGCTAATAACAATATATAGGTATAAATACTTTATATATACAAATACTTTATGTACTTAAATCTAGATCAAGATCACTGCAATTGCTCATGCTATATAATAGTTTCCTGACAATTCTAATATTGAGAACATTTCGAAACATTGTTGCACACCAGCTGAGATGTCAGCTTCCAGCAACACTGCGCTGTCTATCATAAGACCTACAACTTAAAGAAAGATAGTTGCTGCAATATATCAGATGTGTTAGACTGCTAATAGCAATTCTTTTACTGTTACTCAGCGGTAAAAGAATTGCTCTTAGAAATGCAGAATTTCAATAATGTGAAGTAAAAGAAAAAAAAAACAGTCTTTAATTGCTTCACATTTTGAAGATAAAAAATCCAATTTTTCAATTTTGGGGAATCGAAATCTTCACTTGCACTAATTCCTCTTTAAGTTTGGATTTTCTATAATCTTCAGAATTATTTGTGTATAATAATGTAGTTTATGAAGTAGCTTCTGTTCTGTTCCCATTGGAAATGAGAAAAATTTATTTGAATGCCATCACTCTACTTTGGACCTTCTAGTCCAGCTTGTACATGAAACATTACAACTTCTATAACTACAGCTTCAATAGTGATAATCGGAAAAACGCTGTGAAAAGTGTTGAATTAGTTCCAACGAAACTGCAGTTAGCGCTTATTTTCCCCCTTTAATAGTGTTAATTTTTACTTTTATCTGCTTCTTGTTTATTTGAAATTGCACAAAATTATTAAGTAATTAAATTAGGCGTAGTCGCGTTTAACCTATCCTTTTACAGACTAACAATTCTGTATTTTTACTACTGCTGCTAAACTTCTGCAACTGTAGACTTTTTCTTAATATGTAGTTAAGTCCCAAAAACTATTAAAATTTAAATGTTGCTTTACTGATAAATAAGACACATCACCTCATATTAAATTAATTCGACTAGAGAAAAATTAAATGATGCTTTACTGATAAATAAGACACACCACCTAATATTAAATTCATTCGACTAGAAATTGAATTGATGTTGTAAACTTCTTGGTTACTGGTTAGGCATTTAAATTTTTTTAATTTCATATAACTTATTTTCCTGCAAATTGCTCAACTAGAATATTATCATTTCTAAATGCTTTATTTAAAAAGACTATCATCCCGTCAAAAGATTGGACCTCACATAGCTTAAAAGTTTATAATTTCGATTACGTTTTGGAAGCTGTATAGTGTGTTATAAGAACCAATTATGTAAACAATTCCGAAATTTTCTGCAAAGCATTAACAAAATCATGTTACTGCTACAAAATAAATATTGTAGTGACACCTGTACATGATTTTTTAATCTTTTTAATTTTATTTTTATTAACACGTTCACATGATATGAAAAATTGCAGAACCATACACAGTGCATGCTACTGATTAAATCGTTAACGAACTGAAAAAATGAATAATGAATTTTTTTTATATTTTATTGATTATTTTTCTAATATTCTAACTCAGCGGCAAACTTTTCAGTGGACAATATTTGCGGTTCTTTTTATAATATTATAGAATAATAACTATTGACTGGAATTAAGCTAATAATTTTGTGTTAATCTAAATTTTTAACAATAATTAAAACGAAGCGGAATGCGTCATGTAAAATTATAAATGTACGTCATGTAAAATTTTTCAAAAGTGCTTTAAACAACCATCGTAGTTAATTTTTTTTATTTATTTCGCTGATTTTTCTTTCATTCGGATATATTGTAAATTCAGTCTTTTCTCCATTAAAATCAAGAAGCTGAAAATTGTTATGCTTGAAAATATTAAAATATTTTGTCCTTGCTGTTTATCGTTTATATTTATAATATTGCTTACAAATTTATTCTAACGAAAACATATTAAAAAGTTTTTTATTACAGAACTTTTCTGTAAGGATGTGACAAAATTCAACTTTTCGTTATACGCAATTACCTGCGCGAACGACTTCGGTTAGTTACTATGCAGTTTTTTAATCCGAGAGACAATGACAACAAAAATAAATGCGCTTCGTTTTAGGAGAAATGCCGCTTCCACTATTTATGTGACTTATAAAATATATGGTATTTATATAAGGTTATGAATTAATGTATGTCATTTTTCACGTTGAATATGCTCATAAAAATAAACCAAGCACATACTGTAAACTAAATGGGTTAAGTATACAGAAAACGTTCAGCTGGTCTCAGACTTAAGATTTATGAGCAGGATGTATCTAATAAAAAGCCGGATATTTTCCCAAATTTCTTTATTTTTTCCATAGCCTTTATTTTTATTAATTTCCATAGTCTCTATTTTAAGTAAACGTAATTATATAGTGGTTTCGTTTGAAAGCCAAATTTTTTATATTTCCGATATTAATTGATTAACAGTTCAAAATAACTGCTGTCATAACAATATCAAGAAATGTATTCATGCTTTTAAAACTCTTTCTCGGGCTTCCACATTATAACTTATTTCAAGAGTAAATCAAAACCTGTTGAGGTCGAAATGCTGAAACTTTGTCAGCAGAAAAGAATAACAAATTTTATTCATGAGGGTAAATACTATAATTTTTGCTTCATTTTATTCTGTAAATAAATCATTAAAGCCACAACGCATTCGAAGAATTTTGCGGTAAAGGGTCCGACGTAATGTAAAGCAAAACAATAATATATAAAATATTTTGAATTCTTCCGAGTCAAAGGTATGAAGCTTTTGCTGAAATAAAGTCATTTTATACTAGATTTAATTCCTACAGGTATTATCTAATAAAATAAAAAAGAGTAACTGTTAAAGAGTTTAACTAGAGTTCACTAATCCAGCGTTATTAAGTTAACACAGAGAACTGGAACATGAACTGCTGAACTTAAAATTTTTCCTGTCATAATGTCGGTCAATTTCAACAATAAATTAAACAAATTTAAATTTGTTAAATATTTAGTGTAAAACACCTTCACGTAGCAATCTAAATGGGGAATAATATAACTCATAGGAAATAGTTTACGCCATATAAGTTTATTGAGTCTCGTGATTAACGCGCGTGCCTTCTTCTAAACTAAAATTGCTTCTTCTATAAAGTATTTTCTCCCTCCTTCCCGCATGCCTTCGTGGTGTAATTAGAAGCCTACCCGACGCGTATTCGAGAGGTCCAGGTTCGAGAACCGGCGAAGGCACTGCACATTTTTCACATCTCCAGCATCAAAAATCCTAACGTCTCTATACTTCAGCTAAATATTCAAAGACATTTCTTATATAGTTTTTAATGCCTTTAGTTTTAAAGCGACCCAACTTTGTTTGGACTCATCAGAAATTATATAGAAATCAAGCCAATAGTCCAAACGAGAGCTCGAGGTGTTTTTACTTTATATTTACTACTTTATTTACATTTTGGGAAATATTGCCTTCGCCTAGAGTCACACTTCGAAGAATGAAATAAGAGTGAAAAAATTAATTTAAAGGTGTAACTACAC